CACCCTGGGCAACGTATACTCATGCGGCAAAAAAGACTATCAACCGGCAGTTGACCCGACTGTATGTCTTATTCCGCCACATCCCAAGTTCTCACCATTCCTTTTTCCCTACCTTTGTATCTGTCTCGGTTACATCTGTGGATCACTCTAATGTTCCTCCTCTCAACTTTCTGTGACTTTTTCAATTTGATGTTCCTTCCCTCTGTGAAGCCCGAAGTCAACAAAGAGCTAATGATAATCTTCACAAAGCCTTTCCCATTTGGTATAAATATGTGCCGATATACACCAGACCACGTAAATAAATAGTGATCCGAGTAATAAACGTTCAGACAAAATGAATTACATCCGCTGTATATCAACACATTGCTAATTGGATAGAGTTAATACCTAATAGGTGGTATTTACTTTCTTCCAAGGGTGTGAGTTTAATTTACGGCGTCTGATTAGCTCTCATTAAATATCTTTATACGCCTTTTTAACGTAAATAAACCAGACAAAAAACCTAAGATATCGATTTAACCGGGAACAAGGTCACAATTTAATATAAACGAAAGTTTACAGGAACACGATTACATGTAATTTATTATCGTTTGACTCCAAATTACCATAATCGTTTCGTCAACATTATTATTATTATTATTATTTTAAATGGCAGGCGTTTTGATAGTTATCATTTGCCCTTTAGCTGACTTCGGACTTCACGGAGGGGAGGAACATCCTTGTGAGAAAAATTCCAGATGGGGAAAGAAGAGTGATTCATAGATATAAAGAGACAGACAGACACAATGCTAGAGATAAGGTAAGATGAGTGCTGTGGAAGTGGTCGAATATGGCAAACAGGGGGGTCATGGTTGTTTGAAGTCAGAAGTCAACCGCCAGTTAGTAGACTTTTTTGCAGTATGAGTATGCATTGCCCAGGGTGCACCACGTGGAGGTAAGTCTATCGCTCACCCCTCGTTCCATCAAAATCTTTTCCTATAATTCTTGACAAATCATGTTCACCCCTCTCGCATTATTACTAAACGCAGTCGATAAACACATTAAATTTTCAAGTTCGTGTTGGCCCAAGTTTCCTGTTTCCACAACTGCAATTACTTAGAACTGGAAGGCAAGACAGAATTGGGAAACACAGAGGCGTAAATTGAATTTGTGGAAGAAACATAAATAGTTTCACACTTTTGGTGGGCGAACTCACCATGAGTTGATCCCATACGAGCGCTGGATCCTCTGGTAACACGACGTGATGATGGTATGCATCGAGGAACGATGGTGATACTACGATGGAAAGACCTGCGTCCAGATTCCTTCAACAACCGCTCAACACAATGAAGTATTTCCTTGCTGGGTTCGTCCAAATCCTCAACACGCATTCCTAGAAGCCGACCAACAATATCCCGGAAATTGCGAAGCTGAATTAAATGACAATTAAGATCAATAGTTATTCATAAGAGTAGTGATTTTGGATCAAGTGGAATTTGTATTTCTTCAGGTAAACTTTATCGGATTCCGCAATTCAGTAATATATATATAGTGCTCGAAAATCTGGACTAAATTATCTATGTCTGTACTTCCGTACTTTTCAATCAACAGCATCATGTCAGAAGATGGCCAAGGTTAAAAGATCCCATATGAATACTGGAAAGAAAAGTAATATTTTATTTTGTGTGTGCGATAGACTTACCTCCACGTGGTGCACATACGGCAACGTATTCTCATACGGCAAAAATGTCTATTAACCGGCAGTTGACTTCTGACTTCAAACTACCACGACCCCCCTGGTTGTCATATTCGACCCGTTCCGCAGTACTCACCTTACCTTTTTCTCTACCTTTGTGTCTGTCTCTTTTACATCTCTGAACCACTCTTCTATTCCCCCCTCTCGACTTTTTTCAATTTGATGTTCCTCCCTCTCTGTGATGCCTGAAGTCAACTAAAGGGCTAATGATAATCATCAAGACACCTGCCATTTGATATAATAATAATATTTTATTTTAATATTTAGTTAATATTATCAAATTCAAAATAATTCGAATAACAGCATAAGGAATATTCAAAAGTTCGCAGCAAATATCTAGGGTGTTCACCATGAAATTCGATAAGTTCAGCTTGTCTCAACACATTTTAGGCATTTTTTTTCGCCAATACATTCGGGTTGATTTGGGAGGAATTTATTATCTTCGAAAGTCCTGCTTGGTGGAAATTCATATGCTGGGGGGGGGGGGGGGGGGGGGCCCAGNGGGGTCCAGATTCATTTTGCATAAACAAGCTTCCATATCCCATTATAGTTAGAAACGAAGCTTTGATCAAGCGTTTCCTGATTTCATCAAATAAATGCGTCTTTCATGAAATATTCCACGGAAATAATTAGAATGATTTCACATACTTATTCTGACTTCATTTGTTAAATAGAATTTATCTAGCCAAACGCATTAGTAATCGCAGCAATTGTTAAAAAGATGCCACACAAGGACTTGAACGAACCCCCCCCCCCCANCCCCCCCAACATGAAGGAAGTGGAAATGTTAATGTTTATGGGAAAGTGTTCGACTACGCCACTGCCACTTTGGTTAATCATTCTTCATTGAGAGGCCATTTTACTGAGTGGCAGAATGTTTAACCTAGAATTGAACTCCCTCCACACTAATGGATTAAAAGAAATCGATTATAGTAATCGATTTTGAGGCATTGAGGAAATCTCATCACAATTGCATCTCACTAACTTTCGTAAACGAGCGACGTGACTCTTCTACGAGGGATTTAGAACAGGAGTGTTCTCGAGGTGAGTAGAAATCAAACTGGATTTAAGTGGATTAAAGATAATTGTCCGGCTCTAAGTTCGAAAATGGAGGCTCATAGCATGAATGAGTCATCAAAATCAAGTGATTTCAAATCAAAGCTTTCCTTATTGTTTAAAACCCGTACAATTTCAAATTTTAAATGGTTGCTGATCATATTGATCATGAACATACAAGCGAAATATTTCACTATTTTAAACACTGGAAAAGCATTTAAATAGGCGCAAAAAAGAATCTACATGACAAAATTCACCTGGCTGACTAAAATTGGAGGCATATTTCAGTTACCCCAATAAAATATTACATGGGACCACTTAATGTGATGAAGGGGGGTGTGTGATAGACTTACCTCCTCGTGGTGCACCCTGGGCAACGTATACTCATACAGCAAAAAGGTCTATTAACCAGTAATTGACTTCAGACTTCAAACTACCATGACCCCACTGTATGGCATATTTGACTACTTTCACAGTACTCACCTCACCTTTTCTCCCTACCTTTGTGCCTGTCTCTTTTACATCTTTGAAACACTCTTCTGTTCCCCCCCCCTCTCGACCTTCCTCTCTGTGAAGTCTGAAGTCAACTAAAAGGGTAACGATAACCATCAAGACGCCTGTCATTTGATATAAATAAATAAATGTGATGAAGGGTATATAAAAGTGCAATAGTTAATCAAATCGGAATACATATACACACATAGAGAAGAGGTGTGCAATCAAATTATCCCAACACTGTAAACTGAGAAATCTCTTTTGATTGGAAGTAAGTTCTCCTATGAATGAGACTCAAACTGCGACAAAATTTCTGAGCTAGTGATCAACGGAAGCGGAAATTAAATTTTCGAAATAAAACATTAACATTGGTTGCTGATCTTTTTCCTGCACAAATGTCTAGCTACTTTCTAGACTGGCCAATTAATCACAAGTATGCAAGACTCTAGATACTGCTCCCCAATTACAAGAAAGATTGCACGGTGCATTTTGATATTACACCAAAATATACCTTACCTCCCCCCTCCTAATCATCAGGCATATATTGAATGGCTGAACAAATTATTTGCCATCGAAGGAGTGGTTATGGAGGTGTCAACAGACACCCAATACAATATATCAACGCTAGCAACTGTTACAAGTGGCTGCCAACCGATTTTATGATTCCTTCCCCACATTGCTACCCTCTAGTGGTGCTTCGAATAATTTCTGCATAAGTAATGCGTAACTGCAAGTGCGTAGCTTTGGAAACAGGTAATGGAATTCATCGAGTAGATACCATCATCATATATGCATCTTACCCACGGCGATTACTCTAGGAAAAATATCCATCAACATTTTGTGCATTCTCAATTTCAACGTTATTTGTAAAAAATTATAATACCAATGATTAGTGAGTCAGGCATTTTTTAAACACGGGATTGAGCTAATGTAGATAATCGATTGAACTTAGTAAAATGTGTGTGAGAGTAGATCCGGAATGAGAAATATTGGCTTGGTTACTAATTTGCCGAACAAACAGGGAATAGCATTTTGATGGGTCAAGTGATTTGCAAGGCTGGAGATGAGGCAGCTTCAATTACGTCTATTGATCAAATTCACTGTCACTGGCTTTCCCAAACTTGACGATCGATCATATTCTGAAGTCTCTTACCATCATCTTGGGTGAGGAAGATAGAGGAGACTTCTGAGACATGGGCTAGGCAACTTTGAAGTTCATGGTGAACACCTTCAATATTTGCCGTGAACTATTGAGTTACCTACAACCTCATGACAAAGAATTTTGTACCTTAGCATTTAATAAGAGTGAAGTAAGGAATATCGAAAAGTATTGATTGCTTTTAGAAACGAAATTTCACTCTTTCCTTTCGGCAAATAAAGTTCATAGCATGTAGCTAACTAAAACGGTTTTGTAAATTAAATTCTAAAGTGTGAACCTCTGGCATTTAATTATAAAGATTAGCTTAAAGTGTTTGAACTTTTGTCAAATGGGAACAGATTTTTCACTCGTAAAGTGCTTGTTTAAAACGGCTAAACAAAAAGTACAATAAATCCGCCAAATCATCTTTTATGTTACTGAAAACCGATTTAAATAAACTTGGTGTGTAGAAGAAGACCAAATAAATCCGAAAAAGAAAAGTTGGGTGCTACTATTGGCACGTGCTTCTAAATGATATATAAAATAAGACATTTTATGCATTATAGAGGCTTTAATAAACAAGATTAAGCCTTACTTCTTCAGATTCCATTCTTAATTCACCCAACATTTGGTTGATCTCTTGCAATTCCGTGTTGAATCTTGTGCGTTCCTCTTCATGTTGCGCAAGCTTTCTCGTCGTTACTGCCTTCTCCGACTCCAGGCTTGTGATCAATTCGCCAATTCGATTCGCTTGTCTGAGCCTTAATTCCTCAAGGTTTCTCACAGATTCTTCAAGCTGTAATGCCCGTTGGGTTCTTTCTTGTAAGCGTTCCTATGGGAAAAAACATTGGAACCTGCTCATCCAAAGTCTGTTTTTTTGCTACTTATAAATGTGTACATGATGAGTGATTTCACATACCTTGACATCTTTGTTATCCTTCAGTTGAAGCTTCAGCTGTAAAGTTTCATCCTTCAACTTGCTTGTCTCCATATCGACCTTTCTTAGTCGATTAGCACGCTGTTCAGCCAGTGCCTGTTTCTCGATGGCCTCAGCCTCGCCTTTACGGGCTAGCACCAGTTGTTCTTCCAACTTGGCTACTTTATTCTGCCAATTCTTTATCTGAAGTTCACGACTGACGAGATCATCTTGAAGTCGTTGAACCCGCTTATGGAGGCGTGGAGCTAGCTCACTCTCGGATTTGGCTGGTGAGGCTGTACAAGCTTTGGATATGTAATCTAGAAGGTTGAATGATAGATAATCAATAATCACAACTACTGAATTTGTTTAAGTAGATATGTTTTTAGCTGGTGATTTTAAAAGAAAAATGTGGAATCCGACGAGTTATTTAGGAAGATCTTCCTTAATTATAAGAAATGACTACCAAAATCCAAATACTTGTAATTAATCTTCATTCCATTCATCTACTTTCAAGCTCTATGACTATTCGTCTGAAAATGGAGATAAAAAGATTTACGACTACTTGTCAGAATGATTATTGATATCGGCATTCAATCGGAGTAATATTAAAGTCAAATGGAATAAGCCCCTCACCTTCTTTTTGACCCCCAACCTTTGCCATGATGTTGGCATTTCGTTAGCAGATTTAAATTGCAGCCACAATTAGAAATTTGAATAATTTTTTTGTCTTACTGTTAATAATAATAATGATGCGTAGAAAAGATCCGCCAACGGTACCACTTACATTTATGGCAAAAATGGGATACTTTTAGCACGTTTTAAGGTTAACAATATATTTCAAGCCTAGGCAAATTGATAACAATGCAATGACCGTTGCCAATGGAAACCAACCAGTTGTTGCTAACTGACAGTAAAAGTGAACGCCTTATCTTGACGTCAACGCAATGAGATTGCCGTAGGACATTAAAGGGCCAAATTAAATTTTGAAGGCAAAAAAAATTGTGTCAAACAAATAACTAAGTAAGACACAGTGTCCATACTTAAATGGTAGTTTAGTTAATGCAATTTGAATATTGTCAAATTTAGTATAATCCAGTCTATTCCGATAAAAGAAAGGAAAAATTCATGACAAATTGGATTCAAGGAACCTCATTTATGATAAGTAGTATGGTTTACATCTATCAAATTGTACAATTTAATATATTTTAACTTAAGAACAAAATTCATATTAACTTTAATTTAAAAAAGTGTACATACGCTTTGGAGTTCTAGTCTTTAACAGATTACCAGCGATCAAGCTATGGCCATTTTGATCTCGGACTCATTCCAAAGGTAAGATTCCAATATTGGATTCTCTGTGATCAATTATCTATTTTTTTTAATTCATGGAGGGTAGAGAAGGTAGAAATAAACAAAGCATTGGAAATAGCATGATGTGAAAAGCAGTCTTTCATCTAGCTCTATTGGGCTGGTAGAACTTAAATCATTGTGAATTCCTTTTCTCCAGACAGACACGACTTTCATTCAATAATATAATTTTTTGATCTAGTCATCAGACCCAGAGCTATACACCGATAATCATGTTGGATCCCAAGTTTGAAGAGCTAATTGGAGGTTCTAAACGCGTGTTTCCTACTATTCAAGCTCTGTTGAGATTTGAATCGTAACATTCAAATTGAATTTGAATGGACCTGAAAACCGTAGAGAATTCAATGTAGCAGGAGCTCTAGACACGATATTTTGACTTAAGAAATGAAAATAAAATTTTCAAGGTAGGTGAAAAATTAAGATGCCATTCAGAGTTATAAACGACAATCTGAAAAGTAACCTTTACAGTTAATTGGGGAGTCGCGATAGACTGACCTCCACGTGGTGCGCCCTGGACAACGTATGCTCAAAAGGCTAAAAGGCCCATAAACCGTCAGTTCAACTCTGACTTTCAACTACCATGACCCCACTGTATGTCAGATTCGACCACTTCCACAGTGCCCACCTCACCTTTTTTTCTCAATCTTTGTGTCTGTATCATTTACAACTGTGAATCATTCTTCTGTTCCCTTTCTCGATTTTTTTTGAGACATTGATGTTCCTCCCTCTTTGAAGACCGAGGTCAAATAAAGGGCCAATTATAACTATCATAAATCCTGCCATGTTATAAATAAACAGTTCTTTGTTTCTTCAAAAGTTCTTTGATCCTTCACTCAAATTGGTGACGGATACATATATTGACCTCCAGGAACCGAAAGAGGATGATAGGGAATGTTTAATATGTAATATTTTTGCATA